CCCCCCCCCCCCCCCCCCCCCCCCATCCCTCATTCCCCAAAAAATTTATAATAAAACAAAAGAAAAAAACTACTATTAACCAAACATCACTTTTTATCCCATAGATTTTTTTTTTTTTCCCCCAGTTCCAATGTGTATTCCACCAAAAAAGAAAGGAAAATTCTGAAATTTAGATGATAAAAACGTTGGAACTGTTGGTTTTTCTTATTTTTTTTGTTTTATCGCTTAAAACTCTTTGTGAAATCTTCAACTCTCTCTTTCTTCCTCACTTTCACCATTTTAGAACAATTTTCAAAAAAAATGTAAAAAAAGTAAATTTAGTCAAATTTTTTTTTTTGTTTCAGTATAATCATTTTAAACTATCCGCTATTTTTCTTTTCTGCAGTGGGATAGGAAAAAAAAAAAAAGATGATAGAGCTGAAATATTTTGAAGTTAAAGAAAAATATCCACTACAGTACCGCTAAAAATGTTGGAAAAAAAAATGATTTTTTTTCTTCTGTGGCAAAAAAACAGAAAAAAAATTGTTGCTGGTGAAATGTGGCAGTTTTAGTGACTGCCATTTCGAATCACGCAAAGAGTTATCTTTTTTAGCTGCAACTTTTGACATTTAAGATATTTCAAGTTTTAAATACCAGTCGAGTGATACTTAAGTCTTTTCATCACTCTTCCTCAAAACCACCACGAATGCTATCAACAAAACTTTATGCTAATGAATAAATGAAAGGACTTCTCTTTACTTAACAAAATGACTGACTAAAAGACTAACTAACTAACTAACTAACTAACTAACTGACTGATTAACTGACTGACTGACTGACTCGCTGACTAAACAACTGAATTGTTGTTTGGTTGAGTTTGCGGTATAATGATCAGATATGTGCTAAACAGCTTGTAGAGAAACCAACCTAGAGCAAGCCTGTTTATGGATCTGGACTAGTGCCAGAGTAGACATGGATATATTGTCTAGAAAGGAGAGAAAGGCCATTCGCAGTATATGGCGAGTATTTGCATATATGTGTCCGTGCTCGCCGATGTGTATCGATCACACGTCACCACAGCCATCTGACGGAGGGCTCTTCCTTGGCCTCGTTAGTTGATTTCGCAGCTGAGCTCATCATTTTTTGCCTTTTTCGGATATCGCTAGTTATCCCCTCGCGATCAACGTTGTTCAATTATCCGTCCTCTTCTCTTCGTCAGTCTGTTGTTGTTGTTGTTGTTGTTGTTGTTGTTGTTGTTGTGGTTGTGGTTGTTGTTGTTGTTGTTGCTGTGGTTGTGGTTGTGGTTGTGGTTGTTGATGATTGTGAACCCAGTTGTTTTACTTTGTTCATTGAAACAGCACTGTGATAAACAGCAATTTCATTTGCTTCTCCTAGTACATTTTTTAACCAGGATAAATGCCACAGTACGCTGAGTTTAAAATTTTTGGCAATTTATAGTTGGCAAAACTGTTTTTCGTTGAAAAAAGAAGCGAAAAAAGTTTTACAATGAATTTGTTAAAAAGTTCTGTTTTTGCATTTTAATCCTGAGTAATTTTTTTCGCTTTCCTTTTCTTGGCTTTTTTTTTTTCTTTGGTGTTTACGAGCATCGCATACGACAAGTTTGTTATTTTTACTTTTGCTTAGTGTACGGTGAAAATGCTGTATATTGAAGGTGAGTTCGCCAAACTTATCAATATTGGCATCTTTTGAGTTTTGCTTTGTCTTTAAAATTTATTTTCTGATTTGTTTTCCAGCTTTTATTCTTGTTGCTGTTTGCTGTTGTTTGTTGAACACTTTTTGGCCAAACTTACAAGTAACAGTATGTATGGTTGAAAAGTAATCGGTTTCTGAGAACATTATACTACTTGGCTATTTTTATTGGTAACTATACTGCAAAAAAAAACAGTTCGGTTGCTTTTTCTACCAGTTTACCGTTGACATTAAAGCATACTGCATATATAGGGGTTCGAAAGACGAATTCTTTCAATTTTGTGCCTTAGCAAAGCAGTAATTTTATTGAATTTAGAAATCTGAAAATTGTAAAAAAGCTATCTAAATCAGAAAGAAAACAAAGAAAAAGATTGAATCATACAATTTCAAGTTTTAAATTTGGTTTTTAAAAGTGACAGAAGAAAGTTAAAGTTCAAAACAAAAAAAAAAAAAAAAGAAAAGAATAGCTGTGGATTCTAGGAACCAAGTTGAATCTATTAACTATTTTAAAATAAATTGATCGGAAGCCATATTTGAAGAGGAGAGAAAAAACAACTATTTTTCATTCATAGGGGTTATAACTGACAATTGAACTTCTTATTACCGCTTATTTGAATAATATTTTGAACTTTTTCATATTTTTTCTCGATTTATTGTTCTATCTTTCTAAATGTACAATGGGAAAGCAAATGAAGAGCAGTTATTATTGACTGATGAAATGTATAGTTAATTGTTTAATTTTTGTAAAACAGAATTGGTCTGTTTTATTGTCAACAAAGCATTCGTACTTTTTTTTTTTTTTTTTTTTCCAATTTGCCGCACTTAAAACCTTAGTGCAACAAATAATTTATGACCTAAAAAGTTGTCATGCATTTTTTGGTTCTGCGGCTAACTAACCGATGATATTGCAGCCGAGATGGTTGGCAAAAAGGGCTGGAGGAGGGGGAGCAAGAAATTTAGGCTTTATAATCCGCAACAAAGGTTTGAAATTTTATTCAATGATTGTTTGCTTGTTAAGTTTTTTTTTGCTTTGTTTTACATCTCTTTAAAATTTTGCTATGTCTTTTCTTCTCTTTTTTTTTTTTCCTTTTTTTTATTGTCTTTCCAGTTATTTACTCAACTTGGTGATATTGATGTCGGATTTGATTAGAGGCTGGATTCAATTTACTTTTTTTTTTGAACGTTCAAGCAACAATTTTAGAATAGAAAGAAGTCACTGCCATGCACCTTTTATTTGAAAAGCACTTCCCAATTGTTGAAGATCAGTTTTCGGTAAATGTCTGCCGGTTTTTCTGTGCTACATCCATCGATGATGTTCAAAATGATTCCACAACTTTCTTTGCATTCCATCGCACACTGTTGTGAAGAAGGGATGACAGAGGAAACATTTTGAACAGCTTTTTATAGACGTCTGTTTGCTGTTAGTTGTCTACTTGCAGTTATGGATTCTACTTTTTATTCCTCAATTTTCGTTTCTTTGAAACTCTTTTGTTTTGTTTTGCCCTTTTTTTTTTTCTTCTCCTGTTTTTATTTAACTAATTCTTTTGCTAACAATAACCGAAAAACAAGCAGGAAAAAAAATCTCGTTGAAAAATTCTAACAAAAAAAAAGGGAAAGCAATCACGCTTTTTGCATTTGC